CCACCGGATTTAATTTTTTTCCCCGCTCCCCGCTGCCCGCTGCTGACCTACGTGGTCTTGGAAGCCGGCTGTGCCCGGCCTCAGGTACGTTTACTAATCCTTTGTGTGATTTTTATTCGTAGTTCATTCGTTTTAATTTCTAGTTGAATTGCAATTACTTGGTGTTTGAATTGTGATTTCTTGTTGGTTTGTAATTAATTTTTCCGGGTGAAGAATATTTTGTTTGGATACTCGTTGTCCAAAGTTGTGAATATTTCTTCCGGTTTAAATTTAATCACGTGTTGGATTTTTTATTTTGATTTTTTCTGTTGATTGATCCGTGGATAAACTCTCCGGTTAAGAATATTTGTTTGGATACTTGTTGTCCGAAGTTGGGAATATATCTGTCCGAATTAGTTTTAAATCCCGTTTTTTTGCTTGTTGATTTTAATTCTAGCCTATTTGTGCTTGTACGAAAGAACAAGGAGATTGTACCCCGAGCTTTGTGTTCATTGGTCTTCTCGGCTTGTTCGTGCTAGTTGCTTCGTACAATTGATAGCCCTATAGGTTATGATTAATCATTTAGCTGTCTGTTGAGTAAATAAAAATTTTATCTTGCTTGTACGAAAGAACAAGGAGATTGTACCCGAGCCTTGCATTCATTGGTCGTCTCGGCTTGTTCGTGCTAGTTGCTTCGTACTGTTCATTACTTGATAATTTTTTAGTTACTCTCTTGCGTGTTGTGCTTGCTTTCCGGTTAATATGGCTGTCAATCAATATGGCATGCTTCCATTTAACGAAAAGACAGATTTTGATATCTGGAAGCAGAAAATCAAATGCGTGTTGATCCAACAGAAAGTCTATAGAGCAGTGACTGGTCTCTATTTAGACTCTGAGGATGCTGCTAAGCGCGATGAAATGAATGAAACTGCTTGTTCCTCTATATACCTGAACCTTTCTGATTCAGTACTCAGGAAGGTGGGTATTATAGATTCTGCAAAGGCTTTGTGGGACAAGTTAGATAAGACGTATACCAATACTTCTTTGCCTGGTAAATTGTTTTTGCTTGAGAAGTTCTTTAGATTTAGGCTTGACCTGTCTAAGGATATAGATGAGAACCTAGATGTGTTTAACAAGCTTATTCAGAATATTAAGCAAGCCGGTGATAAACACATAGATGACTACACACCATAGTGTTACTTAATGCCATCCCTGACTCATACAATGACGTCAAATCTGCCATAAAATATGGTAGAGATGATATCTCGTTGGATGTAGTCGTTAATGGATTAAGGAGTAAGGAGTTAGACCTTAGACACTCGAGGGGTAGTAACAGTCAGTCTAGGGACTCAGGTGAAGCGTTGTTTGTGAGGGGTAAGTCTAAGAGTAGATCTAGAAACCATAAGAAGGGCAACAACGATAAGAACAAAAACAATGACCCGGGGAAGAAGAGAGGTAAGTCTAAGAAAAGAAGTTGCTATAACAGTGGTATCAGAGCATACGAAGAAGTCTGAACATGCTAATGTGGTAGATGATAATAATTTGCATGAAGAAGTTTTTATGATTTGTGATTCTGCCAATTCTGTGTTGAGTAGCATGACTGAAAATGAGTGGTTGATTGACTCTGGTTGTACTTATCATATGACACCTTTTAGATCCCTGTTTTCTTCTTATGATTCTTGCAATGATGGTTTTGTGTCTCTTGCTGATAATAAGAAATGCAAAATTCATGGGGTGGGTGATGTATGCTTGAAGTTTGATAATGAGACTGTGTTTACTATGAAAAATGTGAGGCATGTTCCTGATTTGCGTCATAACTTGTTTTCTGTTGCTGCTTTTGAGGGTAGTGGGTTAGAGGGTAAATGGGGTAATGGGTGCATGAAAGTTTTGAAAAATTCCCTTGTTTTGTTTAAGGCAAAAAAGGTGAATAACTTGTATGTGTGCCATGCTCAGCCTTTCTGTGATTCTGCTCATGTTGTTAGTTCTGATAAATCTGCTTTGTGGCATAATAGATTAGGACACATGAGTAATAGGGGTTTAGAGATTTTGCATAAATCTGGTTGTTTTGGTAAGGATTCTGTGTCCCCCATCCCCTTATGTGAATCTTGTGTGTTAGGCAAACAGCATAAGGTTACATTCCCCTCCTCCCCATATCCTAATCCTACTAAGTGTACCTCTGTGTTAGAGTATGTTCATGCTGATGTGTGGGGTCCTGCTAGTGTCTCTACCCACGGGGGTAAGAGATATTTTCTGTCCATCATTGATGATTTTTCTAGGAAGGTGTGGGTCCGTCTCCTTGAGCATAAGTCCGATGTCTTTGTGAAGTTTAGGGAGTGGAAAAACCTTGTAGAAAATCAAACTGGTAAGAAGGTCAAAACCCTTAGGACAGATAATGGTCTAGAGTTTTGCAATAAGGATATGGACCAACTGTGTGTTGATTGTGGGATTAGAAGGCACAAAACTTTGCCCTATACTCCCCAACAAAATGGGATAGCCGAGAGGATGAATAGGACTGTTCTAGATAAGGTTAGGAGTATGCTTGCCACCGCCAGTTTGTCTAAAAAAATTTGGGGTGAAGCAGTTAACACTGCTGTCTACTTGATTAACCGGTCTCCTTCTGTTCCCTTGGGTGGGAAGTGCCCTGAATCTGTTTTTTCAAACAAACCCCTTGATTTGTCTAATCTTAGAGTGTTTGGGTGTGCAACGTATGTGCACCAACAAGGTGACAAGTTGGATCCTAGGTCTAAGAAAGGAGTCTTCCTAGGTTATCCTGAGGGTGTGAAGGGGTACAGGGTTTGGGATAGGAACCAGGTAGGTTTCAAAGTTGTGGTAAGTAGAAACGTTATTTTCAATGAATCCGAGTTTCCTTGTCTGGTTAAGTCAGTTCCTGATTCTGAGTCTGATCCTAGTAGTACACCCGTTGAGGTGGAGTCCATACCACGTGCTGCTAGCCCTTTGTTTGCTAATCATGATAATGTTGTTTTGCATGATTCTAATTCTTCTGAATTGCATGATTCTGATTCTTCTGAGCATGATACTACCACCACTTCGAGTGAGGTGGAGCATTCTCATGTGCATTCAAATGACAATGAATCGCATGATGAGAGTGCGGATGCTAGTGAGAATGATTTGCATGATTATCAACTTGCTAGAGATAGAAGTAGGAGAGTAATTAGGAGAACTGCTGATAGTATGCCTGATTATGCTTTCCATATGTGTGATACTTCTATGTTTGCTTTCTCTGTGTTTGAGACCCTTGAGCTTAACGAACCTAGAACCTATAGAGAGGCCCTTAAGTCTAATGAGTCCGCTAAATGGCTTTGCGCCATGGAAAGTGAGATGGAGTCACTTAGAGCGAATAAGACTTGGACGTTAGTTCCTAGACCGCCCAATAGTTCCGTTGTTGCCTGTAAGTGGCTATTTAAGGTTAAGGAAGAGCCTAACGACATTAGATATAAGGCTAGGTTAGTAGCTAAGGGATTTACTCAAAAGGAAGGTGTTGATTATACTGAAATCTTTGCTCCTGTAGTTAAATTTACTACGATTCGTATGATGCTTGCTCTTGTTGCTCATAATGATTGGGAAATGAAGCAAATGGACGTCACCACTGCGTTCTTACATGGTGATTTAGACAAGAAAATCTATATGTCCCAGCCTGAGGGCTTTGTGGATCCCATGAAGAGTGATCATGTGTGTTTGCTTAGGAAGGCCTTGTACGGCCTGAAGCAGTCCCCGAGGCAGTGGAATATCTAATTTGACCAATGCATGTCATCTTTGAAATTTCACAAGTCCGAATGCGACCATTGTCTATACTTTAAAAATACTTCTTCTATGCTTGTATTTTTATTGCTATATGTGGATGACATGTTGATTGTGAGTCCTTCGGGTGACGCCATTAAATGTGTGCAAAAGCGTCTCAGTGAGAACTTTGCTATGAAAGACCTAGGTGATGCCAAAAGGATCCTAGGCATTAACATTGTTAGGGATAGGAGTAAGCGTGTGTTAGTTCTCAATCAGATTTCATATATTGAAAAGATTTTGAGTAAATATAACATGCATTCTGCTACTCCCGTTTCTATTCCGATGGCGTCTCACTTTGTGTTAAGTAAGGATAAGTCTCCTAAGACTGCTCCTGAAATTGCTAAAATGAAATCTGTGCCTTATTCCAATGCTATTGGGTCCGTGATGTATCTCATGGTGAGTACTAGACCCGACATTGCCTATGTTGTTAGTTTCTTGAGTAGGTATATGTCTAATCCCGGTTTAGATCATTGGAATGCTCTTAAGTGGTTGCTTAGGTACTTGAAATATTATGTTAATCATGGGTTGGTTTTCACTAGGTGTTCTGAGGGGGTTAAGTTGAGTGGGTATGTGGATTCGAATTTTGCTAATGATAGAGACAATAGGAAATCCACTACCTCTTATGTGTTTACTCTTTGCGGGTCTTGCATTTGTTGGAAGTCTCAACTTCAACCCATAGTTGCCCTATCCACCACTGAGTCTGAGTATGTGGCCGCTACCGAAGCGTTTAAGGAAGCCATTTGGCTTAAACGTCTCCTAACGGAGATTGGTAGTCTTAAGTAGGACATTTGTGTGTTTTCTGATAGTCAATCTGCTATTCAATTGTGTAAAAATCCTGTTTTTCATGATAGAACTAAGCACATTGATGTTAGATTTCATTTTATACGAGATATTGTGAGTGCAGGTCATATCAAATTGATTAAAATTCCATCGGAATTTAATCCTGCTGACATGGGGACTAAATGTCTCTCTGTCGAAAAGTTGTTGTCGTGCAAACGCACGTTAAACATTGATTGCGGATAAGTTGCCTGGTGATCTTACCCCTTTTGCCTGAATATGTCTTTGTGATTATTCGGGCAATCCAGCGATGATGAGTCTCATATATGTTTTAGAGTTTTAACTCTACACCACTAGGGTCCAATAAGGTGGAGAATGTGTTAGGTATTGGCCCGGTATTTCTATAAGCCCAATTCAATTGAGGAGTTTCCCAGCCCACTTACACTTGGCTTTACTCAGCCCCCCCCCCCTTTTGGTCTGTTCTTCCGATCGGCTTTCCCTCTTCCTGCGTATCCTTCCTTCCCTGGAGAAATTGACTGCGTATCAGATCATTTTGTAAGGCAAGTTACCATATATGATGCTCCTGCACTTTACCTATTTAAACCTCTCTTCTATGACCGATTGAAGTGGCTGGTCGAATCCCTTCCTCTTTGATTCGCACACTTACATCCTCTGTGGAACCCTAGGTGAATTGGCCGGAAATAGCCCGCTGGCTGACGCCCCTTTCTTCTTCTTCTTGTGATCCTAGTGTGTGAAGTTCATCCTTTGTGGGTGAAATAGACGAGGCCTGAGCTGGAAGTTGCTATAACAGATGTAGTGGCATATCCGAAGTATATATGATACTAATATCTTGTCACTCTTGTTTTTATTCAATTGGCTCTATATATAACATATGCATCTATTATCTACTCCCTCCGTCCTCGAAAGAAGTTCCTACTTTCCTTATTTGGATGTCCCTAATTTAAGTTCCCATTTCCTTAAATGGAAAGTTATCTACATCAAAACAGTGCCAAACAGTGCAAAACAGTGTCAAACAATGCCAAACAATGTCGAAACAGTGTCAAAACAGTAAAATTTACCCCCTAATAAGTTTACTTGCATAAAAGTGTGTAAAAGTCAAATGGAGAACTTCTTTCGGGGAGGGTGTATATATGAGGAACCAAAATTGTGTCTTTTATATGGCCCGCAGAAGTAAACTAAAGCAATCAAAACTGGTTATCGTCCAATTTCACAAGAATTTAGTTTCATACACATATATTTGTTGACCATATTTTACTAACACAGTAACACTCCATCTTTTTATCGTTCCCCATATAAATTTATATTTTACTCTAAGTCTTATCTAGTTTTTTCTAAACCATGTTTTCACTCTTTAACATTTTTATTACTACGTACTATAGATGTTTTTACTCAAACTTATTTTGATCCTAGAACAAAGCAAACATGAATAGGTTTGACCAGACTTTAATAGACTAGACCAGACTAGATTTTTACAGTTATAAGCTACAGAGAGACCATGAATCTACCAGACTATTCAGACCAGTCTAAACCAGTTCAGCAGACCAAACAAGATCATACATAAATAGACTAGGCCAGATAAGTAAATTTCAATCCAATAAAAAACATACTCCCTACGTCTCATAAAATTTTTCCCAATTTGACTTATATTGGAGTTTAAGAAAGTGATTATGGTTGAATAAGAAAAATGTAATTGAATGTCAGTCATACAAAACTTTCCAAACAGATAAATTAGAAGAATTGTTTAGCACATCTCAAAATTATAAAATTGGAAGTGAAAGTAATTTTATGGGATGGAGAGGAGTACTAACAACGCTCTATTTACAACATCTGGACCAACCAATAACCAAATTGTTAACTTGCCAAATGACATTAAAATGTGATTTTTGTGCATTTGAGTTGGTACGGACCTGGTAATTCTTTCTGTAAATGTTGACAGCTGAAGCATGGGATAAGATCATATTGTGCCCTACAATAAATATTTCTTTTTCAGGAACTATTTCAGTACAACCTTCTTCCTTCGCTGCTATGGTACACCGATTGGGTGGCCACTGCCCATAAAGATAACCCATCCTAGCCAATACATTTGGCTCATTGAAGGTAACCCAATACTTAACGCGGTCGCCTAGATTCTTAAAGCACACGTCTGCAAGATGTTCAAATTCTTCCCTGAAATTTACCTTCTGATTAGCCATCCCTGAAATTATTGCACCTTTTTGAGACTTTAATCTGAGAAATAATGCATAACAACTTACTTAATTTCAGAGCCCTGCCATCCTTTGAATCTATCCTCGAATTCTTGAGGGAGATCATAATGATTCAATGTTACGAACGGTTCGACTCCTATCATGGCATGTCAAAAGAGTTTTATAAGGTAATATATTCTTCTTGTACACAAAACTTGTGCACAAATTATTCACTGTCTGTGCATACATTTTTAGCATAAAATCTTACTCCGTATCTTTTTTCAAACGCAGTGTCTGTTTACACGGGCAGTAGGGAGGTTGTGTACAATTTGTGTACTAATTTTGTGTACAAATGTAATTTTTCTTTACGGCAACCTACCATTGAGTAGGAGGACGTCTATGAGATTTTTGTAATAGTGGATTCCATCCCAGTTAATATTTCCATGCCTACCTCCTGCACTTATCAACAGTGATTAGAATGATTCAAATGTTTGACACTAATTTCCTGAATTATTGAGGAGAGGAAATGGATTATTCTAACTTGGGAGAACACGAGACCATGAGATTGAAATCTTGTGCGCATTGATTCCAAGAGAGGCCAACAGTTCCGCATCTCCCTATTTTCGACAAAAAATAAAGAGAGGTCGATGAGATTGATTACAACTATTCAAAGAAAAGTACTAGACAACTCTTCATAATACTGTTTCTTGGAGGGTGTTTGGTAGGATGGGAAGTAAATGTGCCCTTTTGCATGTAATGTGTAGGTCGAGATCAAGGTAAAGAGTTTGTTTGGATTATTTAATGAAAACTATCACATTTTATAAAAATGATTCGCTGAGCCTTATACAATGTAAATGTTTAACATGAGGTGGTAGATTCGCTGAGCCTTATACAATGTAAATGTTTAACGTGAGGTGGTAAAGGTCACCAGTTTCATAGGATACTACCTCCGTAACACTAGAATCTTCTCAAATTGAAAGTTGGTGAGATTATGAATAGTGATAAGGGATATAAATTATTGAGGGTATGATGAGAAGATAATAAAATAATGGAGTGGGATACTGGAAAGAAGGATAAATCCAAAAAAAGGAAGTGAAATAGTATTTATTTTTAAAATTATTGAGAGTATGATGGAAAGGTTTAAAAATAAGATGATTATTTAGTTACAACAAGTAAAAAAGGAAGTGTAAAGATCTTTATAACTGTAGTTGATGGGACTATTATAGCTTATTTTTGAGTTAAAAAATAAGAATGAATCTACACCCTTCATTGTTTTAAAATGAGTGGTCTCAGTAAACTTTTCATTAATATGTTGTTATAAAGTTTTAAGGGATAAGTGTATGTGCAACAAAAAAGAGAAAACTGTGTCATGATAAAAAGTACAGTCATGTAGTACAGTAGTAGGAGTAATAACAACATTGTACTTCTTCCCTATGTTGTAAGACCCGAACCGGACCGGCCGGTTCGATCCAGAACCCGGTCACCCGGCCTTGTGTCTAGTCCGGTTGAGCATCCAACTAGAAACTAGGCCAAAACCGGATTTAACCGGTGACCCGTTTAAACCCATGACGGACCCGAACCGACCCAAACCCGGAAAATAATTGAAACCCGGAGAAGACTACGCCTACGGGATTCGAACTCGCGCCATGCGCTATGATTTAAGGACTATCGACCAACCTGATACACTAGGTAGTTGTTGTCTTAGGTTGTTTCGGTATACTTATAGTTTATTTGACATGAATATTTTAATTAAGCTTAAATAATTTGCTTATTAATTAATTAATTTATAATAAATACTAATAAATACACATAAATGCTGTTATTATACTTCCTATTTATGTATACAATCTTACACCTTTTTTGTAAATATTTTGTAATTGGTATTATGTTCATATTTATTATCCATCTAAATTTCAATGTATTTTAATTTTTTTAAAATCAATCTACTTAATTACAATAGTTTTTTTAGATTGCTTATATTGTATTATTATTATTAAATTAAGAAGGAATATAATTTTTCTATTTACGAATTAAATCTTTTATATAATTAAAATTAATTATTTGTATTGTTGTTGACCGGGTTTACCGGTCGTTGACCGGGTTTACCGCCGGGTCCGGGTTGACCCGTGACCCAGTCATCTGTCTGGGTCACCCTCCGGTCCGGTTTTTACAAAACATAGCTTCTTCTTGCGAATTTTGTTTGATACGTAGTATTTGATGTGGGGTTGAGTAGGTGTACATAATATGTATACCTTTTTTGTACACTTGTCTGCTGGGACAAACAAGTGTACAAAAAAGGTGTACATATTTTGTGTACACCACACATTTTCTTTGACAGTACAAAAAAATACGGGATTGGCATAGATTTTGGCAAGGATTTTGGCAGGGATATGCCAAATCCGTGTCAAAAACACTTTGTCACGAGCTATTTAGCACGAAAAATCGGTAAGTCTGTGCCAAATTCCGTGCCAATCCCGTTAGTGTGATGTGCCTTTGACGCGCACTAATACATTATTTGTATGCATGTACTTTTTAGTTTTTACACATTGAAGTTTAAGAAATTAATGAAAATGTTAACACGTTTTTGTTCTAAAATTTTATGTCATCCATACTATATTCTATTTAATCCTGATTAATTCTTATTTTTTCATGTAAGTCTTTTTGCTTGAACCAAACTATATATAAAATACCTCATTCGTCCATACTAAAAAAGGTTTAACATATTTAAATGATCATTGTACATATAATGATCTCATTTATCGTGAGAATAAAAAGTGTCTAGAATGAAAATTAGGGATGAAAATGGTGAAATCGAGAACCAAACCATACTTTATAATTAGTTTCGGTTAGCATCCAATATTCGCATATTTCGATTGACTTTTTTAAATTCAGTCGTTTTTCAAATGCAAAGACATAAATAGAACTATCTCGAGTGTGGTAAAGTTTATTTGATTCTTTTTATTTGGTTCGATTTTCTGGTGGAAAGGTCTTTAATATGGATAAATCTATTAATTACTCCGTATTGATCAGATATGTGATTGAATAAAATTAAAGCATAAAAAATGGACACAATCTACAGTTAATGAATATATATATATATATATATAATTTTCTCTAAACTTAAATTAAGAGTTACTTAGGATGTTTTTAATTGGACTGGACTTTTCTCATCTGATCTGTTATGTTTAAGTATTGTCTGGTCTGGTCTAAACTGGTCTAATCTTGTTTGGTAGAGATCTGGTCTCTATGTATATCATAATTGTCGAAGTCAGGTTTAGTCTAGTCTGTTCAAATCTGGTCTGTTTTGATTTGTTTAATTAAGTCTGATTTGGTCTCATCTGGTCTTGGACTGAAAACAGTCAAAATAAGAACATTTTAACTATCATTAAAGGAGAGGAGGTAAAAGTACATTCTTATAATGTTGGAGTGTGAGTAATAGTACATCAAACCTCAAGGAGGTCAATAATAATTTCCCTATAAACACACTCGTTAGTTTTTGTAAATTTTCAATACCAGTACTATCTACTCCCTCCGTTTCCAAAAGAAAGTCACACTTTAACTCCACAATTATTAAGGAAATAAATTGACTTTACCGTAGAGTACACTATTTAGACACTGTTTGATATTGTTTAGACACTGTTTGACACTGTTTTGATGTAGATTTCTTTGTCAAATAAGGAAATAAGGAAAGTGTGACTTTATTTTTGAAACATCCAAAAAGGGAAAATGTGACTTTGATGCAAAAGGGAGGGAGTATTATTTAAGCTATTATTAAAGCTATTTAGACCTATCTAATCCGATAAAGTAAATTAAAATCCGTGTGAAATGACTAGTGTGAAATAATTAGACCGTGAAATGACTTGTATTTAGATAAAGTCCGAACTGCAACGTTGATACCTGATAGAGATGGTACTGATCAACACTTACATCTGCGGTGCTTCCATCACAAATGGTTCCTGCAACATTTGATTACATTCTTTTTTAGGAATAGACTGGAATAGTATAGAAAGAGTGTTCATTATACGTACGTACGTAGTACTTCGTATATGAATGGCCTGGTCGGTTCATATAGAATGTCGAAAACGTTAGATTCGAATTTAATGCGAAAGTAAAAATAGTTGTACTTGTAAACATGTGCATGTTTTAGTCCATTGGTCACCAAAATTTACTCTGAAGGACTCACCTGGTTTATGTGAGTAAACATCCCAGGTGTTGAGTGATTTACCATCACTTAAGAAAGCCCCTTCATACTGCATGCAACAAAGATTCATAATTTTTGAATACCCAACCCAAATTATACTTAGGAGTTAGGAGTGTTTGGAACTGATTCTACTTGTGTCTTTTTTTTTAAGCATAAGCAGAAGCAGAAGCAGAATCATTTTTCAGAAACTGGTCTCTTCCAGCTTCTAAACAAACTACTTCTGTAAATTAGAGCACCATAAATATTTCTGCACTTTCACTCAAATTGTGAATGGGAAGAAGATTCGAATAGAAAGACCTGATAAGCAGAGGAAGTCGTTCCGAAGAAGAAGTTGGGTGGAAAAGGGGAGGAAGAAGGGTCCTGTGTGAAAACATTATGAAATTGTGAAGACACCAGTAGAGGGCTGAGTAGTAGCCCCAGCAGAAGTTGGGGTATGTGAGAATTGGAAGTTCCCATTTTGTTGGAGTGAAGAGTGGAGTTGGATGCCATCCATTTTATAGGGGGAGGAGTTTGGATTGATCTGGTCCGTTAATATCTAACTTGTGTCATTGATTAGTTTTGGCAGAACCAACATTTTCAGATGGAAAAGTTTATGTATGATTGGATTGGCACCACCGACAACCATAGTAGACTCTTCTGCAAAATTGAAACAAAAGATTATTATTTCTAGTTAAAAAACATTGCTGCTTCTCCCAAATTAATTTGTAAAGTCAACATATTTTTGTCAATCAATATTAAAGTTAAATCTTTTATATTGATAATTAATTCAATTTTTAATAATTAAAATTTACATATTCAAAAACTACATTAAAATATCTTCAGAGTTGCAAATTCCAAATTAGAATATAATTAAAGTTTTATTTTAAAAATACTACTAAAATAAGACTTATTTACACAAATATGACCAATATTTACTACAATGTAGTTTCATGGTAACTTATGTTTAAAAATAAAACATAAGTTACTATGATTTTAGTACCACTCCAGTACTAGTCACATTTTTGTAAACAATCTCCATTTTAGTCATGAATATGTAATTATTATTTTTCTATAATTAAACAGTGACATCTAAATTAAATGAATAAAATGAAACTGTTTGAGTAAGAAAAATCAATTTTGCAAATTAATTTGGAGCAAATGTAGTCATTAATTAGAAGCCCCATTAATCATATTTCAGCCTTATTTTTCATTGAAAAATAGGTGTGAAATAAAAAAAATAAATTAAATTGAGTGTTTGACTTTTAATCACAATTATTCACAAATAAATTTTACGAAATTGAATTGACATACAATAACAAAACGAAGTTTTTAACTAAAAAAGTGTATTGGGTAGACGGGAAAAACGAAAAATATATTAACAATGCCGGGTTGTAGGCATAAAACGGAATTGGCGAGTAAAATATACTACCTCCGTTCTTAAATACGGAGTAGTAGCAACATTAGAATTTGTACGCTACTCATGTGCTCCACTTTAACTATAGTTTATTTATGAATGCTTTGAAATTTTATTTTTTTAAAAATATAATTAAATTGTTTGCATATTAAATTTTTGAAATTTGATTTTATTTAAAATTTTACTATTAGGAAATTAAATATATTAATTATCAAAGTTGTGTGCTGGAAAACATAAAAATCAAAGCGTTACAAGTACTATCTCCATCGCAAAATTATCTTACAAAATACATTTAGTACGTGGATTAGGATAGTGAGTATTATGTTGTAAAAAATTGTGCAGAGAACAGAAAAATGTGTAAGAATATAATCCCTTCGTCCCTTAACACTTTGTCAAGTTTGACCGAAACGAGGATTAATAAAGAAAAAACTGTGTGATTGAGGTTTGTGCAGAGGAGAGATAATTAATTGGAACCACAAATTCTTTATTTACTTGAAAAGAAAAGTGAAAAAGTTAGTAGGACATCCAAAAAGGAAAGTTGACAAAGTTTTAAGGAACAGAGGGAGTATAAAAATGTGTAAGAAATGTTGTAAATTGCAAATTCTTTGCCAAAAAATACTGTATAATACTACCTCCGTCCCGTAAAGAAGTTCTCACTTTCCTTTTATGGATGTCCCAAAAAGAAGTTCTCATTTCCATAAATGGAAATCACTTTTGTCTCAAAAGTCACAACAACCCTTACTTTTTACTCACTTTTTGCTTAATTTGACATAAAGTAAGGATAAACTTGAAAAGTCAAAACAAAACTCTTCGTTACATAAATATGTGTGTAGGTCAAATCGGAAACTTCATTGCGGGACAGAGGGAGTAATATTTTGGGATGGACCAAGAAGAAAATTTTGAAAATAATTCTGTCATTGAGAGAGTAAGAAAGAACGATTTTTTTTGGCAAAGGAATATTGATTTTATTGATAAAACTGAAATGAAGAAGATGAAAAACATATTTAAGAGATAGATATATTATTAATAACCTCTAAATTGCTTCTTCTTTATCTCTGAGATTTCTGAGTTTCTGAATTAATTTACAAGAGTTTGAGCAAGCCCTATTTATACTAGCCAGGCATGGGATGAATCATCTAGGAATGATTCTACATGATTTGCTAGCAGTATTGAATCTAGCCATGTGTGTGATTACAAGGACTTGTGTTTGATGAGTAAGGATGAGAACTAGCTAGGTGTCCTGATTACAAGGATGGACAATTCACACATGTCATTCTAGCCATTTTACAACACTCCCCCTTGAATGTTCATCCTTGAATAGGTATTTGTTATGTTAAAAATTTATTGTGAAAATTAGTGTGAAATTAAAGGGGTAAAAATTACGACTTATAATGTCGTTGTATTTGGATGTACTGTCTCGTTAAAAACCTTATCAGGAAAAACCCAGTGGGATAAAAACCTGATGAAGGAAAAAAGAGTGCAGTGCATTCAAATACTCCCCCTGAAATTAACATAAATTATTAAGGCGGCGCATGCCGATTTTCTGTAGAAGTTCCATGAACTTCTTCGGGGGTAATGATTTGGTGAAGAGATCAGCTGGATTTTCACTGGATCTGATTTGTTGAATGTTGATCGTCCCTTCTTTCTCAAGGTCATGAGTAGAGAAAAACTTTGGAGATATGTGCTTCGTTCTATCTCCTTTGATGTAGCCTTCTTTAATTTGAGCTATGCATGCGGTGTTGTCTTCGTAGATCACAGTGGGGTGACAACTAATAGCTTTCATACCACATTCTTCTTGGATGTGTTGAATCATAGATCGCAGCCACACACATTCTCTCCCGGTTTCATACAGTGCAATTAATTCAGAATGATTTGATGATGTAGCTGTCAATGTCTGCTTCATAGATCTCCATGAGATTGCGGTGTTACCATAAGTAAATACGTACCCAGTATGTGATTTCGCCTTTTGAGGATCTGATAAATATCCGGCGTCTGCATATCCGATTAAAGAGGCTTTTGCGTCTTTGTGGAAGAATAAGCCAAGATCAACTGTACCACGGAGATAACGGAATATGTGCTTGATCCCGTTCCAATGACGCCTTGTTGGACATGAGCTGTACCTAGCTAATAAATTTACAGAAAATGCAATATCTGGTCTAGTATTATTAGCTAAATACATTAGAGCTCCGATAGCACTCAGATATGCTACTTCGGGACCGAGTATATCTTCGTCGTCTTCTCGGGGTCGGAATGGATCATCGTGTATGTTGAGAGATCGAATGACCATTGGTGAAGTCAAAGGATGAGCTTTGTCCATATAGAATCTCTTCAACACTTTCTCGGTGTAATTGGATTGGTGGATGAAAATTCCATTCTTCAAATGCTCAATTTGAAGTCCGAGACAAAATTTGGTTCTCCCGAGATCTTTCATTTCAAATTCTTTCATAAGATATTTTGCAGTATTTTCAATTTCATCGGGAGTTCCAATAATGTTTAAGTCATCAACATATACTGCAATTATGGCGAATCCCGTATTTGATCGCCGAATGAAAACACATGGACTAATTGGATCATTCTTATACCCTTCTTTGAGAAGGTATTCACTGAGATGATTATACCACATTCGTCCAGATTGTTTTAGTCCATACAATGACTTTTGTAGTTTAATGGAGAATATGTCTCGAGATTTCGAGCTATAAGCTTCAGGCATTTTAAATCCACCGGAAACTTTCATGCAAATGTCTGTATCAAGTGACCATATAGATAGGCGGTCACTACATCCATTAGGCGCATTTGCAGCCTTTCAAAAACAGACATGCCAATGAGAAACCTTAATGTAGTTGCATCAACTACTGGAGAATAGGTTTCTTCATAATCGATTCCCGGCATTTGGGAAAAACCTTGGGCAACAAGTCGGGCTTTATATCTAACAATTTCATTTTTCTCATTGCGTTTACGCACAAATACCCATTTAAAACCCACAGGTTTTACGCCTTTTGGCGTAGGGACTATCGGTCCAAAAACATCACGTTTCTCAAGTGATTTTAATTCAGCCTAAATAGCTTCATTCCATTTTGGCCAATCGTGTCGTTTCCGACATTCTTCAATTGATGTTGGCTCATTGTCATTGTTTTCATTCATAACATTTGTGGCAACGACATAGACAAATATCTCATTAATATCAATATCTTTTCGATTCCATTGCATTCCAGTAGAAACGTAGTTTATTGAAATTTCATAATTATCAACGTTTCTATCAGTATCTGGAATATCTTCCTCATTTAAGGAAGTTAGATCATTATTTGAGATGTTTGTTCTGTCAGTATCATTTTCTATGCCAGTATTTTCAAATTGTTCATTTTCTTGTTCTGAAGGATGAACATCTTTGGCATCACAGATCAATTCCTGCCTTTTAGTTTTTCTTGGTTTTATATCTTTTGATCCAAGTGGCCTGCCACGCTTTTTGCGTATAGAAGAATCAATTGCAAGAGATTTTTCAGAATTCTCTGCTGGAATTTCGATTCTGGCAGGAGCATTTATAGCAAGAATATGTGACTTTGTCACTTTCTTTGTGTCTGTGAATGCATCAGGCAACTGATTTGCAACATTTTGTAAATGGATTATCTTTTGCACCTCTTGCTCACATATATTTGATCTAGAGTCAAGGTGTGATAATCCTGTTGCATTCCATGTTATTTCTTTCGTACTTGGGTCTGATTTATTAGTTTCTCCCCCTAAGGTTGGGAATACTGTCTCATTGAAATGACAGTCAGTGAACCGTGCGGTGAATAAGTCACCAGTCATCGGTTCAAGATATTTGATTATTGAGGGAGATTCAAATCCAACATAAATTCCCAACCTTCTTTGAGGACCCATTTTTGTACGATGAGGTGGAGCAATCGGAACATAAACAGCACAACCAAATATTTTTATGTGTGCTAAGTTTGGCTCTTGTCCAGTAACTAATTGCATTGGGGAATATTCATGAATATTCATGAATTAAATTTGCTGCATGCAAAATAGCATGTCCCCAAGCTGATGAAGGTAAATTACACTTCATTAATAATGGTCTAGCGATTAATTGTAATCGT